CTTCTGTTCCCCACCCCTCAACTTTCTGTTACTTTGATATTCCTTCCCCCTGTGAAGCCCGAAGTCAGCTAAAGGGTTAATGATAACTATCAAAACGCCTGCCATTTGAGATAAATAAATAAATAGCTATATAAATAAGTTGTTTTCAGTTGGCATAAATTGCTGACAGTAAAGATGGTTTATTTCAGGCGGTAAAAAGGCTCTTCCTCGGCTCACCCATTCAAAGGTGTTTATGCCCATTAAGAGAGCCCGAATTCACTTTATATGCAGGCAATGAAAAGGTGATTATGTAACTGTCACACAAAAAATCAATTTGAAACACAAGATGATAGGGGATTGGTGGTTTTATATAAAGCACACACGCAATTGCGTGGAATAAACTTATTAACTTGAATTATTGCGGGACTTTCACTCACATTTATTGCGTCCAATAATTTATTTCCAAGGTCATTGTGCAGATATGCGTTTTAATGAAGTTCATAATTTATCCATTGAATTAAGCAAAAAATATTTCACTTTTAGCGTGTATGCTCAATATGAGAAATTTTAAAATTGAAAGCTTTGGAGTATTCTTATATTTATATTTTTCTTCTGAAATTTGTCAACTTGCAGACATACATGCAGACAAAAATCACCCCTGAATGAATTGTAATAATCTTTGAAATCTAGATTTTTCGTTATTAACAAACATTTGGATGCTTTTTAATCCTAAGACGGGCGAGTCTGAAGTAGCCAAGAGGATACAAGAACTCGACGTACAGTCGTGTGTTCATGCAGTTGAAATTCCAACCACCAGCCCTCTTCCCCATAACAATCTGTTATTCTTGCAAACCTTGTGCAGAAGATTGATTCAATTGTGTCTAACTTTTCCAACTCTCATGACGGCAGCTTCTCCTACCACAGGAGCCAAGTCTGTTATTATCACCTGACATACGGAAACGACGCCAAGAAATGTAAATCAGGCTGTAAATAATCCAACGTTTACAATGCTACCTCGAAATTAAATCCCATTGGTTCTAAAGTCAGCGTTATCTCATGTTCTGCAAATAAATGCTTTCTTCAACCTACCGATCTGACACTATAGGAGGCAAATACCCCTATTACATGCCTTCACACTCTTTTCTCTTCTATTTTACCATCAAACATTGTCAAATCCCTTGTGCATAATTGCCGCCCAAAGAGAAAATTCCATTCCGAGCTATTTCAAACTGATACACGATAACCCTAAAAAAGACTCCCGGATCTCGTTGATGACTGCAGCTCTATACATGGAGATAGTCATATCTTTCTGCCAGAACATTTCTCCAGCTCAACCAAGAGACGTAACAGAGGCAAAACTTGCTGCGACAACCAATAAAATAAGCCCAAATCAGTCATCCGATGCAGAAGTCCCAAACACCAGATTCTAAATTGGAGACCTGTAAGACCACATTGCCTGATCCATGAAAATCCGTTGCTGGCTTCCAAACATTGAAACTGTACTAAAGAGGACAGAACACAAACTCCAGTATACAGAGACTGTTCCCATCAACTTGAGAACTTTTTCGCAAATTCAATCGCTGCCTTCTATAAAGCAAACTATCAAACGTAAAACCCAAACCGTTTAGCTCGAGAGGAAACTCTGAACCTACAAACTACTTGCAGTTATTATTATGTCGAAGTTCAGCGTGGAGCCGACTCCGATACAAAAGCTTATGGATTCATGAAAATATTAATCCTGAAGTCTAACAGCTGAAGTAATTTTATACACCACAAATTAGTCTCTCTGATAGATAATTCCCATTCTGCTAACCCTAACCGACCCCTTGCTTCATCTGCACTCACTGACAAAAAGCTAGATCCTCGAAAAACATTGAACTGCCTTCAACTCCAGACTTTGTCTTCAGATAGTGGTAACTTTACTGTCCCAAAATCTTTTATCTCCAAAACCGGATATTCTCGCACTTGTTGTGGCCGAAGGGTGGCCTTACTCTCTCGACAGGCGCAATATTTACTGTGAGGGGTGTGCGATACACTTATCTCCACGTGGTGCATCCTGGGCAATGTATATTCATGCGGCAAAAAAGTCTATTAATTGGCAGTTGACGTCTCACTTCAAACTACCATCACCCCTACTCAGTTGACTTCTGACTTCAAACTATCATCACCCCACTGCACTGCTTCGACCACTTTCACAGTACTCACCTCACCTTTTTTCTACTTTTGTGTTTGTCTCTTACATCTTTGAAACACACTTCTGTTCCCCCTCTCTCGACTTTTTTTAGTATCCTGGCGAGGGGGGGGGGTATTGTGCAGTGGACAATGTCGTCATGTCTGAACAAAGAAATCTTATGGGCGCTCAGACAGACTCGAAGGTGCGGCCGTGCTGCTTTTCGCGTGGAAAACAAGTGCGGGTGGGGACTGATGCCTCTCAGTGAACCACCAATCAATAGTCGCTACGTTGTTTAAAATACCCTTCATTGCATTTTAACGAAAACGCTCTGTGGCATAGACATCCCAAATACAATTTTTTTCCAAACCATACGTTCGTATTCTCTATTTTGTTGAGGCGGTCTTATCATAGAGACATTAGTAAAGGCAAGCTGGTGTAGTAATCCGCTACCATATTAGCAATATTAAATTGCTGTTAAGAATAACTAAATTTGGGAAGTTCTGCAATCGACATTAGCAATGGCATTTAAATGTAAAGTTTTGATTTTCTAATCAAATAGTCGTGATTATGAGTACAAATAAGGCGAAAAAACATTTGCAGAGCAACTTAATAAGGAAAGAAAGTTAGTTTGTCAGATTATTTATTCAATTTTTCGTTCATATCATGATGCTAATGACTCAACAAGAATTTACGCGATTTGTCTCCAGCTCCAGCAACTTCTTTTAGTTTTCATGCACACCTTTGATACTTCCCAGCTCTTGGATAAGGTATTTCAGAACTGAAGGCTTAGTCCTGCTATTTTGGACATTAGAAATGACTAAGCAAACTCGAGTACTCATTTTTTTTGACGTTCATAGTGGTCAAGTTTTCCTTCCCATATGCCTAACTAGGGGTGCGCGATAGACTTACCTCCACGTGATGCATCGTGGGCAACGTATACTCCTACAGCAAAAAGTCTATAAACTGGCAGTTGACTTCTCACTACAAATGCCAGGATCCGACTGTATGTCATAGTCAACCACTTCCATGGTCCTCACCTTACCTCATTCTCTACCATTGTGTCTGTCTCTCTTACATCTGTGAATCACTCTTCTGCTCCCCCCCCCCCCCCTCGACTTCTTGTGACTTTGATGATCATTCCCTCGGTGAAGGCCGAAGTCAACTAACGGGCCAGTGATAATTATCATAAAGCCTGTCATTTGATATAAAAGAATGACAAACTAATGTGTTGGCTTTCAACTTTCTCAATCTGTAGCTGAACCGAAACGTTCTTGAGTATAAAATACCCATAGAATTGCTCAATTACGAAAGCTCTAAGGTGGTCGATTTGAGTATCTCTAAACTCGTATCTTGATTCCCAAGCGTCCGAATTTCACCATCGTCGTTATCGTATTTCCATGTCCTTGACCATTATTGCAGACTATTCTTTTTTAGAACATTTTCACATAAAACACCACGCTTAAATGACACTAATTAAGTTGACCTTTTGTGGAACAGAATCACACTAATTCTCTCTTACCCGCATTTTACCCCCATGCTAAAGGTTTGTCGACTTTATGAAACAGATATTAGGCTTTAGAAGCCTTTCGCTTAAAGATTCATCAAGGGTTTTTAAAATGAACGGATCACCAACAGTGTGAACTAATCAAAACGGAGTATTCAGGCATGAACCCGAAAAATTATAGGAATTAACCATTAGTGCATATTTCATTCTATTTTTCTTCTGCTATTTCTACGCAAATGTGTGCCTTTATTTGGATGCAAATTCACTCGCACTGCTAAATAGCAAAGAGAAATGCAAATTTAAACTCCGATTTCAGTGACCTACTATTTATATAATTAATTGCAAATACAAAACTGCTACTTACTTCATCATTGAAATTTCATTTCTGGAATAACTATTCAAGCAACTTACATATTAAGTTGGGAATGAAATTTGATACATTACTGCATAGTTACTGCAAATATAGTAATGCAATGAAAATTTCCTGACATGCTTTTATTACAAGTATTGAAACATAAAAAATAAATAAAATAGTAGAAAAAGTGCATCAGGTAATTCATTTAATTCAAGAAATATGTTAAATATAACTTTGAACACGTATTAATTGCCGTAAAACCATGATACCAACTGCTAAGAAATTCATGAGTAGATTGAAATGACCCAAGCCGGGTCTTCTAAGTAAATTACAATATGCGGCGTACAATACTGAAGTTTGATGTATCTTCAGAATTCCACTGAATCATCAATCTCCCTTAAGCAACTACCAGTTACCAAACTCAGGCGTTCCAAATTCAAAACGCCTACCCATAAAAAACAAGACATTTTCCAGTTGGTTAGCCAACTAAGAAAGGCAAACCAACTGACCTTACTCAACGTAGCAGAGTCAGGCTTAGTCTCACTTTTCACCCTTGCCTTAAGTTCCAAAAATATCTCACTGATTCCTGCACCCCCAATCACTGGGAATTGCTGGTGATACTTGCTAAAGTTCTGAACTACTGCTTAAGGAAATTCTGCTGTTTTCTTGACGTCACTAGTAAGGATTTTAAAACCGTACGAGGCTTAACCTTCGGATAACAGAATCGTGTCTTCTGATGACTGTAATGTTTTGGTATTTTTTCTTAAGAGGATATTCAACATCGGTGTCAAGTTTTAAACAAACTATAATAACAGATAAGTATAATAATAATAATAGTAATAATAATAAACAAATGCGATTCAGCTGACTGTCACTGCTGGGAATGTGGAATATTTTGACGAGAAAAGCGCGCACTTTCACAGGAGAACAGGAGGGAAGATAATGTCAAAGATATGACGCGATACAAAGAAAGTTGTCATCCTGATTTATTACGTGGAATTTCGAGCTCTCCATCTCAGTACAATGAAACAGAGAAACCGGAGCGCTATAAAGAAGAGGATGAGGACAATGAAGTCAACGCCGAAGTGATATCGGCTAATACTAAGAAGATTGAGCACAGATTGTGGCTCGCCTAGGCAGGGCATCGAGACGCTTGACGAGGGCTTCTTGGTACAATTCAACGTCGTGCGGTTATTGCCATAGATACCCTTCATGGAACCTTCAAATGCATAGCGAGTGAAAGAACTGTAAGAGAGCCATTGAAGGTATTTTGGAATTGTGTCGAGGGTGATGAAAAATCCAGAGAAAAGAATGATTGGAATGCCTGTAGCTGGTCCCAAAAACACTGACACCTTCAAATAAATAAAAGTACGAAATACAAAATTAATAGACGCACAAATTTTATGAAACAAAATAATATATATGCAGAAGATGTCTCGGTTAATCTTTAGTAAGTATAACAGAAGCACGGGAAAGGACGGCATAATGAGGAAATGACCTTGAAAGTTAAAGGTCTAGAAAGAGGCCGAATGAATGGCAGAAATATAAAATTATTTCCTAATTCAGATTGTACAATAAATTCCTATAACACATGCATGCTCACAATGAAAGTGAGGAATTAGATTCGATAAAGGATTAACGCAGCTAAGACGCCTACAACAATGGGTTGGTTCAAATGTTAACACCCGAAATCTCAGAACTCGTAAAGGACATAATTTAGAATCAACGGAAATAAAGAAATACTATTCGTTCTCTCTAAGTAGTCAATTGTGGGAATATGCCAATACCAGTTACCTTCTTAACAAAATTTCAGCAAATTAGAATCGAAAAGCTTAAATAGGATTGGCAGTGTTCATTAGTTTCATAATATTGTCTTATGATAAGTTAGTAATTTCTATTCTAAATCACTCAAAAACCTCATTTGACTTTTTTCCGAATTCTATGAAAACACATTCATCTGCGTAGTTAGATTTCCCATTCGCAAATCATTTTTGAAATCATTTAAGAACTCTGACTTCCTTTTAAACACACCATATTTGAGTGAGTCACATGAACTAAGGTGCCTCTGAAATTCAATTTGATTAAAGATATGCACTTTGAACTGCCTCAGGTATTACATTAGCAGTTGAAGATTGGAAAAGGTTCATCCAACTTTAATAACTGCGCAGCAATGTCCCCGGACCAAGAAAAAATTAATTGGAAAGGAAATCAAAACTTCTATCGATTCGATTTTAGTACGTCAAAATCGTACTTCGGCCCTGGAATAGCCTAAAAACTATCAAGCCAATACAAGCCACGCGTAAAAGTTGAAGATTTGAGTGCATCAAAGTGAAAGGCGGCTCCGTTTGCATATAACTACCTCAAGGTCAGTCGAAGCACCAATCAAGAGTCCTTGAGCTTGAGCCACGAGGGCGGTCAGAACCAGCATGGTGAGAAATACCATAAATCGAGAAAAATCCGAGGGTTGGTCAGTTAAAAAGTACACGATCATACCGTAGATAATCGAAAATACGACCTATAAGAGAAAATAAATCATTGCTGATGCGTAGTTTGAAATGGTAATCATAAAGAGCTAGATACAACCTCCATTTTCGAACTGCATTGAATAAGGGGCTTGAAGCCGTTGCCCTATCTTAGAACATGTTCGATTAGAGAAAAAAAGTATTCTTTCATCGTAATATACTAAGGACTTATAAACAGGTGGTCACGCGACTTCACGTCGAAATTCAGTTTCAAGAAAAACTTCCCTCACGAATTGCGATTTCGTTAAATATGCTAAAGCGCTTTCTATCTGGCCAATCAAATGCGACCAAAGAACTAAGTGATTGAGTTGAGAGGGTACACCTAGTAAGCATATAAACCAAACAATATGTGACACAAAGAGAACAGGAATTCAGCAGGCTTTCCCAGTATGCTAAAAGGAATGTCATTCAACGGGAGCGCTTTTTAAGTTGAGGAAACATGATGGTCTATTTTTATCTCAACGTTGGCTTTTCGTCTTTCTAGTTACGGATTGTAGTTAGCGTTATCACGTGAACTTCAGCTGTTTGGTGGCATTCTTGCACACTTACCTTCAAATCGTTAATAGAAATAGTTATTATAACCACTCCAATATAACAGGACTTGCTCTTAATGAGATCATCTTAACTTAAGGCTTTAAAAAAACCGCAAAATTCTCTAGCTTTACAGTTGCTAGTTTACACGTTCCGCTAAACATGGGATTATATTCGGGACTTCCAGATTTGTCGCAAATTTCTGACAAGTGTAAACACGGACAAAAGAAGAGATCCAATTATTATTCCACTCATTCTCCTTCTTGCAATATTGAAATGAAGATTTGGGACTCTATCTTATCATAATCAAAGAAATTAAAAGTAAATCAACATCACCCCCACTCCACATTTTAAAGCATAATTAGTCTGTTCACTAAGAAGTATTACTTTCGGCATCGAAACCAGAATCCTAAATCAAATGTCTGATCATGTTTACCCACGGTATGTTTCTCATCTGTCTAAATTTCCCCTCACAAAAATTTATTTTTTCCATATTTTGACGCTGCCCAGAATGACCAACTTCAGCAATGTCCCACAAAGCAGATTACTTATCCCAACAGAATGGGTACTAATAAACACCAGGAGAAAAGGGTTCAAAGACCGTGCACTACTACAGAAAAAGTTTGAGAGGTTCGTTGACAAACATTATATTCATTGTTTAGCTTCTTTGCTGATTCAATTTTTTCCTTAAATAATTTTTTATTTAGTATTGCGTCCGTTCTCTTTAGACCCGTACCACTGAAAAACATGGCCAAAATCAATATTATTTCGTGCGTATGTTGTACCAAAGAAAGTACTTCACATGTTTGGCAATTGCTGTTTGGGAATTGTCGGTTTTCTTAGTAAGATTTTATGCTCTATGTGATAGGTCAAATCCGTTTTGGCTGGTTTCCTATCTCACTCTTGATGACACAATTACTTAAAGATTGGAGCCAATTACAGTATTTTTAAACTTGCCTGGAATGGAAGATCAGCGAAAGTTTTCGCAAAATAGTAAGCACGAACGCTGTACCAGTAATTGAGATGCTCCGTCACAAAGACGCGCATCTCCAGAGGGACTACAAAAAAGAGGATGAAAATACGTAATCACAAAAAGCCGAAAACGGGGTGAGTAAGCAAAACGACATGGCGGAAGTTTAAGTAGGGCACAAAAAACCAAAAACACGCCTCTTACGACCACCAATCAGAATTGCAGTCTCGCCTGATTGGCTGTTGAACGTACCTTCCAACTTAGCTGGATTCGTTTTGGAAATAAAAGGTAGAAGGTGTGTTACGATAGAGCACACTGGTATGGGATGAATTATTGAGAGTGGCCATCTTCTACTACGTACCTTTCTCGAGAGTTATGTAGAATTGGGAATGAGATGGGAAAAAGTCAAAAAGGAACAAAAGGAATCTTATATTTAAGGTGAAGGTGCAAATGTACTCAGTAAAGTAGAAAGAATAAAAATTTGAATAGCCCAACCTAAGAATCCCAAAACAGCAATTTGGAATTTAAAATGGGGCAAGATCTTCTTTGAGGCGAGTCTTTAATAACTGGCTCAAGTTTGCATAGAACAGTGCTCTTGGAGTAACAAGAGCAACAGTTATAATTCCTGGAAAATCCAGCGGCCAGACCTCAGCAAGGATGACTTTATTGGGCTTCTGTGAAGTACCAACCTAATCATCACACATCCAAACTGATGGACAACCGACGAAATAGAGCTCGTAGCTGCAATCTTTACGTTTTTTGTCTTGGGAGGAGCAACACTAACAAGTTTTCTCCAAGTCGTCTAGTCACCTTATTTGGATGAAGGTATACATTGCTCCAATTGCTTGAAAGTTATTTGGGACTGATACTGTTGATAAACTAACGGTTTTGAACCCAAAAGTCAGTAACATAAAAATAACTTGAATTCCTTTGCTTAACAAAATTTCATTTGTTAACTGTATTCTCTCGTAGTTTGAATAAACTATAGTCATATTTAGAGAAAAATAATAAAGTACTGGACCTCCCAGCATTGTAATAACATAGAAGATATGAGCTTTACGAAAGACACATCCTTGAAAGCACAAGGTACTGACAAGTACTTGAAATAAGATAACTTAGGATGTGGAGAAAAGTTTAGATGAGGACAATCTGTCTTGGTTAAAAATCTTGACAAAGTCAGTCCCATAAGACAGGAAGAGAATTTAAGCAAGAACAGTGAGATACAAAGCTGTTTATTATTCATGCATTTTTGTCAATTAGGAGCAATGGTTCTGTATTGTAAGGAAGATATTCACAGAAATTTAATAAATCCGAATTATTCAACTCCAAACACCTCAACTATTAGAAAATGAGTCACAAAACGATCACTCATCAAGATGTCATCATCAATTCATTGAAAGAGATAGAAAAGCCGAAGTAAAAGAGTAAGTTTGGGCTCAGTAGCCAACAAACAAGATTCCCATCTCCTGGATCGAATTCCAATCTCAACTCGGCCAATGTTAATAGCTTTAAATTATGCATCTACTGGTCAGATTAGCAATATATATATATATGCTAAATGCATAAATAAGAGCATAGTAAGGTGAATTATGGAATAAAACTTACAGGTCATAACAGTTGGCATAAGGGAGGAGAACATGATGAAGAGAACTGAGAAGAAGATGAAAGCTGCATTGTTGATAACTTGAAAGCCGTTGTTACCCACATTGAAGTAAAGGAGTCCAATTAAAATTCCCACAACGACGTGAGCCAATAGTCGTAGACGTGTCAGCGTCTAGAGTGGGGAGGATGTGAGAGGCGATTTAGCGTGCAATGTACAGGGTGTGCGATAGACTTTCCACCACGTGGTGCCCCCCGGGCAACGTATACTCATACGGCAAAAGTCTATTAACCGACAGTTGACTTCTGACTTCTAACTACCCTGACCCCACTCTATGTCATATTCGACCACTTCCACCGTGCTCCTCTTACCCTTTCTCTACACTTGTGTCGGTCTGTCTGTCTCTTTAACATCTTTGAATCACTCTTCTGCCCCCCTCTCTCCACACTTTAAATCATTATTCTGTCCACCCTCTCGACTTTTTGTCACTTTGATGTCTCCTCTCTGTGAAGCCCGAAGTCAGCTAAAGGGCTAATGTTAAGTGTCATAAAGCCCGCCATTTGAAATAAATCTTAAGTTTAGATTGTCGAATGTATTACATGGAAAATGAGGAGATCATAAGAAGGCTCATTGAAAACGCAAAATAAAAGTTAATGGTTGATTTCCTCATTATAACCAAAATCTGAAATGATTTGGTTAATGGAAGAATTAACCGAAAAAGAAAAGGCGCGGAAAAAGGAAATTTCATCTTCTAAATCATATGAAAGACACTTTATTTAGACTAATTCAATCAGGCCAAGCAAAATTATTTTTCATTCACAAACTTCTAGTTGAAGTAGAGAGATAAAATGTGAACCAAATTGCATTTATTTTCATTAAGCCTTCAATCTAAAAGTATTTTTACCAAAATATGAAACTAAAAGTCTAAAATTTCGTTTTTTTAAGAACGTGAAAAAATGCAGTAACAGTGACTAAACTTTAATCTAAAATCAGAATTCAAGTTTTACTAATTGCTCTTCCTTCCAGTAAAATCGGTAAGCTCTAGCATTATAAGACCGCGGGTTAATTAAATGTAGCCTGAATTCGCACGCAATTATCCCGACTATATTTCTGGCTGCTAGCATTCCATTCAAAATAGCGGCTCTAGGCACTCACTCCAAGCATCAGGAAAGGTCTAGGTTGCCTATATTATAATTCATCTGAAACATGAAATATAGCAGGAATGTTCCCTCAT